CAATTCATCATCACTGCGGCTGCCCAGAGCAGCCTTTTACCTAACAAGAGCTTATGCCAAGAGATGATAAAGGTGCCCAACAGAAGCTCTTAGAGATATCAGAGGATAAGCACACCTAGTTGTACTGTTGAGTCAACTGTGACATCACATTTCCTTCCTTCTTCCCTCCCTCCCTTTTGTCTCTCCCTCCCTTCCTTCCATCCATCCCTCCATCCAATTTTTTATTTGATTTGATTGAATCAATTACTTGCCTGTCTTCCAAGCCTTCCCTAGGCATCCAGTGCCTTCATGTTGTGCTGATGTGTGACTTTTGTGTGTTTTTAGCTGTTGCATGTCACTCTATGAAACTTCTGGTTTGAAGAGCGGCCTATTCGCGTTTAAGAAAATTGGAAAGAATAAACAAGTAACAGACAGGAGGACTTTGGGCCATTTACTTTCCTCTCTCTGAGAAACACTTCATTGCCTGCTTTCCTCCTCTAGTGTTGAACTCAAGGTAGCTCTGAAAAGTGGCTTATCTGAATAGGTAGATTAATGGTCAAGAGACCTTGGCAAGACTGTTAAATCAAAGGATAAGGAGAGTCCAATTTCCCCAATCCAACCAGAAGTTGATATTACATTCAGCTGGTGTCCCATGAAACTTAGCTTTCTGTCTTTTAACCAGATAAAAAGGCTGCCACATAATGGCGAGACACCCACAACTTCAGGATTGCTGGCAGCCTCATAGCAAGCAATTCTTCAGCCTTTCTGGGACTGGGAAATTTAAGAAGAAAACGGGATTACTTATCCATTGCAAATTAAGCCAATAACGTCATCTATTAAGCTCCACTCTTAAAATATCTCAGAAACTAGACTAAACATTTTGGACTTGCCCACCTCGGTGACACAAAGTCCATGGCCCCTAAGTATCCCCCAGCAGGTGCTAAAAAGTTGCTCGCCTTTGCAGGAGTCCTTCAGAGACACAATAGCAGCTTGGAGGAATGATACTAAATAGATGGGCTAAGCAAAGTTTTCATAGGTGAAGGGAAGAACTTCAGAGATGCTCCTTCCAAGTCCACGTTGTTCCTCCTCCCTTGGTGGGAGGTGCCCATGGGAGAAAATACATTTATCTGATAGAAAGGTGAAGGTGAAAAAAACTGGCTGTGGCTGAATGAAGATGTTCCAACCTTACAGGAAAACATTCATGAACATGAATACATCGTTTTGATGGATGCTTCAAGAATTATCAGCTTTGGGGGACACTCCAAAAAGGAACGGGTGGGCCATGGAGGGGGGAAAAAAACCCTAGCTTTGATTTCATTTCATTGGCATTGATATTTTAATTAAAGTGAATGCATTTAAGATGATTCCTCTCAATCCATTGATTCAATCCGTTTTTTCCTCTATTCCATTAAACAATAGAAGAACATTTGGGAATGCCTTTGAAGGCCTCCATGGGCTATGGCACATCCAAAGCTGGGGTCTCAGGTTGCCCTTTCTGAGCAGAGATGAGGGGCAAATTATTCTGTGGATTATGCTTTTTTTGCAGAAGGCATTTCCATTGACTCTGATGCACCGGGCCTTCCAGCCATCCCCGTGGAGCTTCACAACATGATTTAAAGATCCCAGACGCCACTATGGCTGGCTCTGGTACAAGGACATTGGGAGGAGGACCCGGCAGGTTGAGGGGTGGGTAAGGCAGACGGACGGACGACCACGGTGGCTGAGACATGTGTCTGCTTCCTGGCATTCATATACTGACGCGAGCAGAAAACTGTTAACAATGAAGCTGAAGCAGTCAGATTCCCTGGCTGTCTCCAGCCTCTCTAGCTTCCTCCAAGACCCACAGTTGGCCTTTTCATCTGTCTTTTTT